ATCCAAAGAATATAGGAAAACAGCTAATCTCTTGAGAACAGAGAAAAATACAGATGCTGCCAGCCCTCAGGAAAGAACTTCCCTGTTAGAATCCCTTGCCTTCCCACTGTGTGTGAGTAGGGTCAGGTAGCAAAGAGGGAAGCAGGTTGAGAATCCCCTAGGGACTGGTGGTGTAGTTCTGTTTAGGGCTGGGGCAAACACTAAGCCTGAGAAGAGCCTGAATTCAGGCACCAGCACTACCCCAAAATTTGGTCCTTGCAATACTAGGGGTTGAACCCAGAGCCTTCATACTGGGCTACATTCCCAGGTCTTTTTATATTTTGAGTCAGGGACCCACTGAGTTTCTAAGGTAGAACTTGAACTCAGGAGCCTCCTTCCGTAGGCTTCTAAGAATAGAGGTCTGTACCACTGAGTCTGGATTCCATAACTCTGAAAATGTTAACTGCTTTTAGCTCCAAAGCACCTGAAATTCCATTACCCCACTAAATAGGCTGAGCTGGTAGTTAAGGAACAATTTCCCATGATAGTCTAGAGATCTGAATTTCAAAGTGGTACAAAACAGATTTGATTACTTTTCATTGAGGGTACATCTTCGGTCTGTCGGGTGACCACTGTATGACTTTAGGTTCTCTGTGAGCTCCGTGTACAGTCTGTCCGCCATCGGCAGAGGGATGCCATCCCACAACATGATGAGCACCACTATCACAGCAGTCTGACACTGGTGGCCTGGGCGTTGCCGGACCAAACAAAGAACCTTCTCTTCCTCACTGCTTCTTCTGATAACCTGCAAAAGCAGAATGTATTTATCTATGGAAAACAAGCATCCTAAGTGTGAAGGCAATGGCTACTCCTCTTCAAGCTCCATACAACTCCATTTCAGTTTATTAAAAAAGTAAATTTATCATGTTTCCCCAGGGGCCAAGGCTTCCAGAAGCCCAGGGACTGTCCACTGTCTCATACTTGACCCACAAGATGAACAAAAGGCAGGCAAAAGAGGGATTTATTCCTGCAAAGAAGAGTCTTCTTTTGGTTCATTATTGTTCTGGTTTGACTCAGGAAATCATAATAACTGTTCTGGTTTTCCACGGATGTGAACAACAGGAGAAACACAGATGAATGGAAAAAACCAAAAACTCTAAACATCTACTCTTAAGAGTAAGCCTGGTCATGGTAGACAGTGTCTGTCACTTCAGCTACTGGAAAGGCTGAAGCGGGAGGATTGACTGTTTGAGGATGTAGCTCAGTGAGCCCTGGGGTTGATCCCCAGTATCACAACACATAACATAAATTAATATTCTATCCATTGATACAGGCTGCATTGAAGATTCAACTAAGGAAACTCTATTACTATGGAGTTTTTTTCCCAGCACTTTCATTTTCTAAATTTGTTTTGTTTTTGGATGTGTACACCAGGCTGTTCTTGAACTCGAGGTGATCCTCCTGCCCCAGCCTCCCAAGTGCTAGTATTATAGACCTCAGCTTGCCTGGCTTTTATTTATCATGAGACAGGGTTTTGCTGTAACTGCCTACATGGACCTTCTGGCTCAGCCTCTCTCTCAGTATTAGGACGACAGGTTTAAGCCTCCACCCTTTGCTAAAAATGAATAAATAAACAAACGTGAACACCAACATTTAGCTATGTGAGGGCACAGATGTCCATCGCTTTGCTGTACAAAAATACATAAAACAATGACCCTATAACTTCTGTCATTTCTTCTTGCTACCAAAACAATGTGTCAGGGGCTGGGGAAATAGCTCAGTAGAGTAAGTGCTTGCCTGGCAAGCACAGGGTCCTGAGTTCAATCCCCAGTACCACACACAAAAAAAATGTGTCAGACCAGCTTCCATCATAAATTAAAGTGGTACAGCTGACCTAATGAAAGCAAAACATGACAAATTTGAATTTTACTACTGATTCCTTTAGCTTACACCAAATCATGGCCTTGCAATGATAAAAAGACTTCAGGATTTAAAATACTGCCTGGGGGCCTGGCCCTAGCTCAGGCCTTTAAGTGGCTGCTTCCACAAAGCTGTCAGCCTCAGGTTGCTGGAGTTCGAACCTCACACTCTCCCGCTGGC